GTGGAGTTTTGCCATTACGAGTACGGTACATTTCATTAAAGCGTGTTTTTTTTTTAAAGTTGTCTTTAAATATTACTTATCAAGTTTCACTACGCTGTTCAGACTTTGCCACGGCACAGATGTAGCGGGTTTCGTCGCTCTCTGTCAAGAACAATCGTGACTATGGAGGCGCTGTGTGTCTGCCTACTCATGCTTACCGACACATTCCTCAGCCTGCTCTGCCACTCTCGGCCAGCGCACGGCGAGGCAGCGCGTGCGGGGGAGGAGAGGCACGTGGTGGGGTCACCGCATGAGCCGTGAGAAAATAAACCACAGGGAAACTACAAACAGGGGACACGTGCGGGATTCATATTCACGATCTGGGGGGGGGGGGAGGGGGGGGGTGGTAGTATGATGGATTTTGTTAGCGTTGGGGAAAGCGTTGTGGGTAAGGGGTAAGCAAGTAGGCATATGCATGTGATTATGGTTAATGTTAGTTGCAGAGTTATGTCTATGGTTAAGGACACTTAGAATTATCGTGAAGCCGTATAGGGTTTATAATCCTCAGTCTCTTAACTGCAGGGGTCATGGAGTGCCAATTGTTTTGGCAATCAACTCATTCCAGCTCTTGCTTTTTGCGATCTGCACATCTGCCGCTGACCTACCTTACCAAAACACTGTTCGACATCCCGCTCAACCTTGGGGGTGACATGTATAAGGTTAAGCTTGCTAATAACTGGATATAGGGGTAGAGTTCACTGATTTTGGTAGTGTTAGATTAGAGGGAGTGGTTGTATAAGTAGGGTTAGATGAGAGAATTAGACGATTTAATACGTGTTCAGTTTTGAAATCGGTGGCAGATGTGGAGGCTGGAAAATATATCGTTGTGTTCTCTACAATTTATCCCTATTACTGCATTTTAGAGCAGTGTCTATATGCTTATTAAAGTGGTGAATTATAGATAGGGATAGACAAAAAGAAAAATTGCACCAATGCCATTTCATTTAGAGCCGTCAGTTACAGGCGAGTTATATTGATCATACATCCGTGTGCTCTTTTATTGCTGTGATGTCTGTCTTAAGGGCTACGCGTGCCTGTGTGTGTGTGAACGTCGGGTTTGCAAAGGTGGAATGACGTGAGGTTAACTTCCTCGTCATGCTCACAAATTCACAGTGCAACGGTGACGGCACAAAAACCATCGTCGCAGTCTCACGAGGGATTTTTTTTTTGTTTTAATGATCGAGCTGCAGGTATAATTTATGTGTAAATGGTAATCATCATCATCATCATCGAAAGCCATGAGGAGGGATAACCTTCATTAGGGCTTCCTTAAAGCGTAGACATTAGAGGGTGAGGTTTTATTTTTAGGCGGTTTAATCTTCTCACACATGCAGTGGCATTGATTAACAAACATATCACAACGTTGACCATCTCGGATGTGTGCGTATAGGCTAATTTCACTTGCCCCTAAAATGCATGTTGGGCATGTATGTATGTATGTTGAACTTCTTTCGCACTGTACGTAGCCAACCGTGCTAAATAAGAGTTGCGAGGGAAGGACAACGAACTAAACAGTTCTAAAGAAATTAGTTTTCAATATAGATTTTAAAGTGCATAGCTATTATGCATTACTAGTAGCACTTCAACCTAATTCCTCTGTCCACTTCGAATGCATTCTTATTATTTCTTGTGACGGCAGGTTGCTCAGCAATGCGAATGTGGTAATGTCGAGCATGGTGAGGAGAAGCCTGGTGAATATCTAAAACTCTGCTAGCCACTGATCAAAGCGGGCATATGGCATCGCTATGCAGTTCGTGGTTTTGAGATCTGTGACCGCGGTCGCACTCTGGGCTATTCTTAAGGGCATTGAATTCCTGCGAGACACTGAGACACTTTGCGAGACGGGCTGTGAAACAGCCGAACGGGGGTGGTGGCGGCATGAGCCATAAGCGGCAGATTGCTTGAAGAGGGCCCTCGGATGTCGAGCACCTGGTTTGGGGGGCAGTGGGTGCATGTGCCGCTGGCGTAGGCTCCGCATATCCTTCGTGCCAGTGTCACCACAAAACCTAAGTTGGTCACGGCATTGTGCAGAGGCAGGGGAGGGCCCAACATTGCTTTGTTATAAATACATCAATTCACCCCTGTGCTTCGAAAAGGCTTCCGGTCGGAGGACCAAGCATTGTCCGTGCCCCACATAGCACCGCATTTTATAGGCTATAGCAGCAGCGGCACCACCATCACCTATATCATCGTCTTCATCATCACCTGTATTATTATCTGTATCACCACCACTTTCACCTTGTTTGATATTCTTATAGTCACTGTCATCTTTGTTATCATCATGTTCATGGTATCTGTCATCACTACCATCGTCGTCAGGATTTTCTATATTGTCACCAATATCATTGTATCTAGCATCACCACCACCGTCATCGTTATCATCATCATTACGTGTATCCCCATTATCATTGTCATCACTTTCATTATTGCATCATCACCTTCATCATTGTCAGAATAAACATTATCTGCATTGTCATGTTTACCTGTTTAATAAAATTCATCATCATTACCTGGACCATCATCACCATCATTATTTGGTCCCCAACCATCCTCTGCTTTGTTAAGTGCCGTTTACAACAGTTTGCTGAGTGTAACTTCACTGTTGTGATCCAGGCTTTGACAGCATAGCAGTGCTGTTCAACACAATGCTGACCACAGAAACCCAGCGTGTAAATGCAGAAGGCATAAGAAGAACACACGGTTCTAAAACAAACGCTGTACTATCTAGAATACGAAAACAAACACAGGCCAATTTTCGGTTCAAGTGTAACGGAATTACAGGGTATGGGACACAGAAGCCGATGCTCACAAAATATATTGGTAACAATCGGGCCTTTCACATTTTCTTAACGTTCTTATGCAGCGTGTTGGAGTTAAAGATATGTTAATTCTTCACCGTGTTTAATACAGCTGCAGTGTTCTTGTAATGCTTTTACAGTACATTTTCCCAAAATTCATATTGATTGCTCTGATTATTTCCTTTGTAACAGGGCAAGTAATTTATTTTCCAGCGTAATTAAATGTGCACTAAAAGGCCGCTCATTAACTGGTGTAAAGAATAAATAAATCCGTAGCCGCTTTGTCAGTCCACTGCTGGATGAAGGCCTCTCCATGCCATTTCTATCGTGGGGAGTTGTTAGACCGTATTTCCCTATGCTGGTCATTGCAGGTGTTAATAGGGTGTTGGGACTCGCACTTGGGTTGCCAGGTCCACCAGGCCACCACTTCATCCCATCGCTGGTGTAAGTGTGGTGTATCTAAAGGCACAGAGGGATTCAATGAATGTATGCTGGAGTGTAAATATTTCATTTTCAACTCCTGTCCTCTTGACACAATTTCTACCCATTGCTTCTCGCTCCCGGGTCAGTGTCACATCCGGTGATCTGACATCGATTGCCCTTGTTTATTAAACTTCCCATTGATGTGCAGCGTCCTGGGTCTGTTGTGCATAAGTGTGGCGGAGTGCATCAAGATAAGGTGGCACGTGATGCTGGCGAAGAAGTGCTGTCATTTGTCGAGATGACGTATCGCTATGTATGGGAGTGGTAAAGTAGGTGGTTAGCACACTGCGCTACAAAGCTGGTAACCTGAGTTGAATTCCACCACACGGCCAACTTAGTGGCTATTATCTGAACCACTGCTGGGCCTCCCCAAGCTTGACTGAGCCTTAAATGAGTACATACTCTCTGGTTCTTTCGGTAAAGTCACGTAGAAAAAAAAATAACACGACGTTTCGGTCGCAACACACTACATCAAAACTGACAAGCAAATCCTCCGGGGACAGTGATATGTCCTTGATTAATAAAACCAAGTGGGCCGAATTAAGTACAGCTGACGCGGTCTTGCCCGTGAAGAGAAGCAGAGTCTCAAGACAGAAATCGTGCCAATCTATAAGTGGGTGAGTGATGGTGGAGATGATAGGATGGAGTGGAGTGCCCTCTTTATTGATTTTTGGAAGGCCGTCAAATCTGGGTGGTCTAGCAGCCGAAGGTTTGAGAGAGAGCTGTTTGATGGGTTCGATTAGGGAAGTCGAATTAGTGATGATTTTGTTGATTTTAGTAGCCAGGCTATTGGTAGGGTCTCTAGTAATTTTGGTATAGCAGCCGTCATTGAGAAGGTCCTGAAGTTTGTTGTTGTATGTGCTTTTATCCATGATGACAGTGGCATTGCCCTTGTCGGCTGAGAGGATGACAATATCATCTCTCTTTTTTAATTTAGCGAGTTCAAAACGCTCGTACTTGCTAATGTTGCTCATGGGTTTATTGCTATCCTCAAGCATTCTTGAGGATAGCGATTTCAGATCTTGCAACGTCTGCCGGGATGTGTCCCAGACCTTTGAGGGCTACGTCGACCTGGGCAATGATGGCATCCACTGGGATGTGTTTCGGGGTGACTGCGAAATTCAACCCCTTAGCTAGTACCGATTTTAGGCTGTCAGAAATTGGGCTGTTACTTGATTGATAACAATCTTGTTAACATCTAACTTCCCCCCCTCCCGTGCCTATATAAAGCCACAACAGCAGATCATTCTTTCTCGCCTAATGACAGACGCTTGTGTTGCGACCGAAACGTCGTGTTCTTTTATTATTTTTTCTATCTACGTGACTTTACCGAAAGAACCAGAGAGTATGGATTCCTGCAGTCACGAAAGCTTCAAATCAAGATTAAATGAGTACGAGGTGTTAATCTTATAAACTGCTGCCGCAACAAATTGAATAAGAGAGCTTGTGTGTTTATTGTGTGTGTATTGTATGTGCGTACGGTTTTCATTGTTCACTTTTCCAAAAGCACTCTAGCCCGCTCTCATCCACTTCTTTATTTCATCATTTTGATCCCAGTCCACCACCAATGATTGCCCGAGGCGTAAGACCGTGAGAGATGGTGGCAGCGGTGGCGGCTTGAGGAAGCCTTCATTCAGCAGTGGATGGATCGTGGTTGATGACGATTTTGTCTTTGCACAGGCACCCAGGAGAGCGTGAGCTACTGACCTCCTTCGAGCTGCACTCTGGGACACTTCGTCAGGCGATCGGCTATGCAGGCGTACCTGCAGGAAAGCGTCTGCAGGGCCTGCCTGAGACACTCTCCTCGCCGCTCGCTGTACACCAGCAGGTGTGATTCAAATCACCCCACGCACCACACAAGGCCCACCTCAGGGAAGGGCACATACCCTCAGCTGGGCATAGACTACTCGTGTAACGATGCACAACTCCTCGCAGCGATTGGATGAATATTCATAATTTAGTCACATTTTTACAAATGCTTGTACCGTTTTTACCCTCGTTTGTATCGTTTCTTGCTTTTCTTTTTCGTCTCCTTGCGTACAGGTTTGTTTCACATCATTGAACACACCTACGCTGAGCGTTGACAATGGGTAACTAGTGATCGGCAGGTCTGAACTATCGCACGCGATATGTGGAAGCATGCAGCCCAGGTCTCCAGTGAATTAACAGCAACAATGCCGTAAAGCCTCGTACACACGTGGAGGCTTCACAGAGCGAGTTTATCTCATTTCACCCGAGTGATACCGTTGGCAAATACAACTACACAAGACCAAGCGAGCCACTCGTATTTGTCTCGGCAACCCGATGAAACAGTTTGTTGACGTGACAGTGCCCGCCAGCCTCGCCTAACGCCAGCCTCGCCTGACGTCAGACATGACTTATCCAAACACATGATCAGACCCGTGCCAAATAATTTCCACCTCAACATTTTGACCCCTGGCGAGCGGTCAGAACTTTCGTGTGCAAGTCGCGGCGATTGATGTCGGGGCTCGTTAACGGTCGGCACCGACGGCTGCTGTCTGTGTGCACGCGTGCGTGTGTGCGTGTGTTTATGTTTGGGGATGGCGTGGACACTGCCCAGGATGTGCCGACAGTCGCACTACGAGGTCCTGGGAGTGGCTTCCAACGCATCCATGGAGCAGATCAAGGCTGCATTTTTCCAGCTGTCCAAGCAGGTCTCGTCGCACACCGCCTTCTCGACGCCCCCTCCCACACTTGGAAATATTGGGGTTTGGCAAATGTGCTGGCTGATATCGCCCACATCCCAGGGACATTGTGCCTGGCTCTTGTGTCGGGATTCCTAATCAATCAGTGCGTACGTGTCAAAACCTGAAAGATCATAACACTTTAAAAAAAACATCGTGCAAGGGAAAGCATATTGCGTTGGGGAAAATTTTAAATGAGCTCAATAAAGAGTTTGCTACTGGTAACTTAATTCGAACTGTGTGAAATCCCTCTTAGTTTCAAACATGTTTTTGCAGGGGGGACTGCCGCTGTGTGCCATGTTTATTAAAGAGTCACAGCAACCACGGCAAAGCGCTTGGACTCCCTGTTCAGACCCAGTCTCAAGGCCTTCCCTTCTGTTATGCCTACGAGTAACTGTCTCAGTGAAGTGTCTTCACTCGCACTTTTACCAGAACGTCATCTCGGTCCCCTCCGACTTGTGGCATTCCACCCTATTAAATGCTCTGTGGGGTTTTTTTCAACCTTTTTATGCACCAATGCCGTGGCGGTGGCAAATGAGAATTGAATAATGCCGCCACGTCAAAATACAATCGTTTCATACCATATTCCAAATTTACTCTGGTAAGTACCATGCAACCTGTGTTCAGATCACCTCCACACCAGAAAAGGGCAACTTATGCAATGCAAAATAACCCAACATTAATTGTGGGAGAAGTACATTGTATACCATAAAATGTGTCCATTGTTGCCTGTGTCATAAATGCCACTAATTGAGAACTGCTGCTGTCTCTCTCTCTGTGCACGTTGCTCCCAGTTTGTACAGCGGCTTGAAACTTGAGTTTCATCTAGATGCCACAGAAATCAAAATTGTATCGTGATATCGATGCAAAGGATTTATAATGATAAGATTATGGCTGAAACAGACATCGAACTGTTGTGCAATATCCGAATTTGCGTACTGATTTTGGCTTTTATAGAGTGTGAGCACTCTATAAAAGCCAAAGGGAAATGTCACGGCAGTAATTATGCGGCCCATGGAAAGAGCCTCAATGTCAGACGATCTAAAATAATTATTGGCAGCTCATTGAGCGAACACGCACTCGTCCGAGGGCTCATTCATGCATTTGCAGGAGGGGCACGACTGGCACCCATGTGTGTTTGTGTGTGCGTTTACGCACAAGGGCTCGCTTGTGCATGAATGTAAACCTAGCTTGTGCCTCCTCAAGGGCAACTTGGCCTGGAACTAAGCACCAGATGTCGATGAGTCATCTTCGGCATCATACGTTGACCATTGTTCTCTGTACTCAGAGCTGACATCAATTCGATGGATGGGACGGCACGTCACCCCAGTTCTCCAGTCCCGCCGTTGGCACCCAATGCAGTGTTTCTCCATGAACTTGCCGCTGCCTACCTCTCCCCTCGTATCTTGCTATACTCTCCTATCTAGTCGCCAAGGCCTCCTGTTGAATCGTTGTCAACCTCCACTCAATTTGGAACTCCCCCCATTCACCTGTACTGTTTAGTCCCTGTCCCTTTTTAAGTCCAGGCTCAAGACTGGTCCAGGCTCAAGACCTTCCTCTCTTCTGCCTATGCCTAACTCTTCTCTGGAATATATACCGTATATGTAGTAACGTTTACACGATGCACGTGCCAAACTGTTTATTCCTAGGGCGTCTTGAGACGTAGTTGACGCTATATAAATCAATGTTTTACCGTATTGTACGGTGCGACAGGAGTGAGGCTACGAAGGCAAATGTGTCTGTCTGTGTTGATGTGCAGTTGCATCCGGACCGCAATCCGTGTGACCCGGAGCTGCACGGCCGCTTCGTGAAGCTGAACGAGGCCTACACGGTGCTGAGCAAGCCGGTGACGCGCCACCAGTACGACATCGGCCTACACTTGTCGCAGGCCCCGACGTCCCAGCCGGGGGGGCGCGCCCCCAAGACTTGGCCTTTCCAGTCCCCTGGGTTCACGGAGAAACAGAGATACGCGCAAAGGTACGTCCGTGTGGTGGCCTGTCCAGGCAATTCGTATCCGAATGAAAAAGATGGGTCAACGTGGGAGGCCGCACCATGGTGGGTTGTGAGGACTAGGAAACCCCGCACTGCAGATACACATGGCTTAACAAGGGGGCGTTCGCGTTTTGCGTCATTACAGCGCTGAGTGGGAGCGTGACCGGATGTACTGGGAGCAGTTCCACTATCCAAACCCCGAGCAGAGCGCGTTCACGCACAGCAAGAGCTACCAGCGCAGAAGTCGTCTCATCGTGGGCGGCTGCCTCCTCTTCATGTGCCTCAGCGTGGGGCTGCACTACCTGGGATACCGGTGCCATGCTCACACCTGCGCCACTCACTCGTTCACTCATTGCTCACCAACGTATTCGCTTGCACACCTTGTCAACCTACTTGCTCACTAGATTGCTCACTTGGACGGCTACTTAATCACTTGCTAACTGACGCGCATGGCAACTGGCCTATTTATTCAATCGCCACAAACATAGCTTACTGACCAACTAATTTACGCACTCACCCACTTGCTTACCCTTGAACTCACCCACTCACTAAAGCAATCCTTTACTTACTGGGTCACTAATTCACTAAATCAACACTTCATTCATCTATTCACCAAACCTCTCACTTGCTTACTCATTCACCTACTCACCTACTCACTCATGCACTCAATCAATTCCCCCACCTCACCAAACCACCCATTTACTACTCATTCACTCGATCACAAATTCCACCTGCACACCCACTTACAAGTTTAATCCATTCTCTATATCTCACCATCACCGCTGTTATGGTGGTGGCATGTGGTGTTCATCGATTGATGCTCGTGCAGGAAGCTGGGCGAGGTACACTCACATTTTATGGACGAGCGCGATCGCATCAACACCGAGATCTACGACGTGTCTAAGGAGAATGCCCGGTGAGCCAAATTGGCACGGTGCCCACACCACCACCACCACCACCACTGCAAACGTGACCATTCGCACGCCCGCACACACGCGCCCCACACGCGCCCGCACAAGCGCCAGCGTGCGTTCGCGCGAGCGAGTCTCTTTTGGCACGCGTCTGTGTGGGCGAGCGTCGCGGGTACGCCGTGTGTACGTACACACGCTTGTGTGAGTGTCCCTCTGAGGAGTGTTAGTGGAGTGGTTCGCACACTATGCTGCCAACTCAGCAACCAGAGTTCGATGCACGCTCACAACCAATAACTGCCGAATATCTGTACCAGTTCTGGGTCTCCCCTACGTCGACTCAGCCTTAAATGAGTATGTGGTACAGTGTAAAACCATCAGCACTGGGGAGACCAAGGCGGCCGGGTGTGGTATTGCCCACTTACCTCCTCATGTGCCGTGCCGGCCTTCATAGGCACTCGCAACCAGCACTTGCCCCGGCAGCCTGTTAAATGCTATATGGGGATCTTTGCCTTTGTGTGTTCCTGTAGCGGGTTTCGCGCAACGTGCGCCTACGTGCGTGGGCGAGTGACGAGGTCATGTGAAGCTTCGTGCCTGCCTCCATTACTTACCCCCATGATGGTGATAGCTTATATTTTGACACTTACACGTTAGGCTAGGGATATTTGTTGGCCCGTTTAAGATGTGAGTTAGTGTTGACATTTCAAGGGTGAGAGTTACACCAGGAGTATTTTTAGTCTTTGGGGTTTGGTCAGTGTTTGCGACTGCATTTAGAATTGATGGTAAGTTCACGTGTATGTACAGCCCTTTTATTCTATCCACAGCTGGATGAGGGCTTCCCCATGCCATGTGAGTCATGAGGGCTATTTGGCCATACTTCACCATGCCCGTCAGTGTCTTATTGTGAAGGTGGTGCGGCATAGATGTTGGAGCAGAGTACAACATTATTCATTTTTATCCACTGCCCTACACTGACAACATAGCCCTACGAGAGGACCGCATTCGAGATGGCCACATTCTGGGGAGATTTATCAATAGGCAACGTTAATTCACGGTCATTTTGTCCCAATTACATTGCTCCCGTTTTCTGTACAGCAGCCGTTAAATAAATTCATATTTTGCCCAGTTATAGTTCAGTAATCACCAATCCGTGACCAGTAGGTGGCAGTGGGTAATTCTAAACATTATTTATACCGTGATAGGTGACCCAAAAATGTTACCCAACTACCTAACTGATTGATATTTCATGTCATAGTCTATATATCCCTCGATCAGGTGGTTTTAATTCAATCAACAAGATGCTATACTTGTTAAGCTGCAGGCAAGGATTGGCGTGGGGTGGTATAAATAATTATATTAATGATAGGAATGGAATCATTTTGATCCCTCGCAACTTAATCACAGCAGCCTAAATCCCTCGTAACTTAATCACAGCAACCTAATCACTTGTTGTGATCAAGAAAGAGGTGTGATTCGATCAAAGAATACATTTTCTTGTCAACATTGTGGTGAATGCCGACGCCTCATGTGGCTGGAAGGGTCACGTAATCGCCATTGCCTGCATTAAATACGATTAGAAAAACACCCATTCTTACACGTGAGAATCGTTCCCGTGTATCATGAGTCTCGGAATCGGTGTATCGTTGCACCTTGAATGCCTGGGTAACATTTTCAGTACATTGAGTGCACGTGGATTTGGTAAAGGCATAACGTGTATGATACACTATGTCACATGCTTTAGTTTCGAGTGACTATATATGATACCTATGATGCCCACGGTTATATTGTGTTTTCCTAACGTTCAGTTTGTGTCCACATTTGGGGTGCAGTGTGAACGGAGTGGAGAAGCAAAATGAGATTCTGCGACAGAAGTATACAGAGTTTGCGACCAAGTACCGCAAGGAACACAACCGCAGGGCGGAATAAACTCGACACGCTCCAGCCCCAAGTCGAGCCAAGCCACACCACTCTACGTGACACCACGGCGCACCCCGTCGCTCTTTATTTCACAGTGTTCCCAGTGAACATTTTATACCCTCCGGACGTTGAAGCGCTGCAGGATTAGAATGCTGCTGGGTACTGAAGATAAAACCGGAGGCATTTGAGTGTTTTGCTCGCGAATTGTACGGTTTGTTTTACAGTGCGGTTTCGGTATTTGATGTGTGACTTTTCATCCACGCCCGCATCACTCGAGTCAGTCGGATGGCGCACGCGCGGTGGGTGTCGAATATCTGGGGCAAAACCCAGGTGTTGCCAATCGTACATTGAACGCTGAACGCTCAACAGTTGCCTCCTGAATACTCACTCTTCTCTCGTTACTCCCCATGGTAATCGCTCCACCCACCGATGCACTTCACGTTTGGGTTTTTCTGCCCAAATTGAAGACTCGGTTTGACCAAACTGACTTTCATCCATGCTGTGTTTCAACCACCATATTGAAAGTCTAAATAGTTATTTTTGTGCTTCAGTCCTGTACACTGCTCCTCTTTGAAATTCCCTGCCATTGTCTCTTTTCCCAAGCTCTTATGATAACCTTGCTCGAACTCAAGAAACGTGTTACACTCTTATCTATTACACCTCCAATAATGATATCCGTTGCTCGACGCTTGCCATTTCGGGCCTTAGGGCCTGTGCCCAGAAACCTGATGAAAGAAAAAAACGTCGGTAAGCCCTATCCAAAACACGTTTTGGTAGCCCACAGAGCGCAGCGTAATACTTTGTTAAACGGACAAGCGCAGCGCACACTTTCGTTTCTGTTGCAAATGTCATCACCGCCCCAGTCGCTATGTCCATTCCTCAACGGCACGGCCAGCACGGGGCGGCGAGACTACACCGTTGCAACACCCGGTGTCACGTGTCCTCGTGGCTTTTGTGAAGATTTTTTTTCGGTTTCATACAACCCGGCAGGGTGAACTCTCGCACAGCGTTTTCGCGCGAGATGGCCAACGGCCTTGTGGCCACACTGCGGTAGACGGAGCCGTTGCATCTGAAACGTTACTAGTGTCTGGGCAGATCGTGCGGTTCTTTTGTGTCGAGCAGAATGCTGTCTGCACCTTGATTTAAGCAGGAATTGCCATGTTCCAGAGAGTGCTTATTGAACCCAACGAAGTTTGTATTGTAGCTCTACTCGGTGAAAAGGCTTCAAGATTTTACTTAAAACCAGGAAAAAAGCCTGTCATCAATAAGTGAGAGCTATAAGCTACAGCAGATTAATCGGCGCCATCATCGGTGGCAAAACATTCGTCTGGGAATTGATCTAAATAACTCGGGCTCTGTTTTAAAAGATGGTTAAAAGGATCGTCAGGTTCCAACCGTCTGACTGGCCTTTAACCAAATACACAACCGCGATGAACTGCACAACTTTAAATGTTTAGTCTCGACTCGCACTCACCTCCATGGCGGGAGCAGTGAAAGAAACATAGAGCGTTGAACACCCCTCACTGAGAGAAGCGGACTTGAAAGGACATTTGGGCACATCCAAGTGGAGCTGCGGTTACTGTATATTGCGGCATTTAATTGTCCTCGTTTTTAACTGATCGCTATGCAATAGAAGAGACATTTCTGCCCCAGGGTTAACGACAGCTGGGTAATCTTACACTGGCTGCGGTATACTGTGAGCTACACTGTATCATAGTTTTACCAAAGCAAGAACCAGGGTTTGTTCAACTTTGCAGGCCACATTCAAATGGCATGTGCTGGCGGGCCACGTGTACAGATTGTACGATGGTACTTGGCATTGAGAACACTAATATGTACCTCTTGGCTCCATTTCTCTCTAATTTACAACTCTCTGATCTATTATCATTCTTTCAGCTCACTAATCAGTGTCTCTATGTCTCAGTGACGGTCGTATCTCGTGGTGGGCCACAGCTCAGTGGGCCACTTTTAAGATCCTTTGCCGGGTAGATCTGGCTCACGGACCACCATTTGAAGAACCCTGGCATAAATGTAGGCGGTATCGCTAAAGTTATAACAAACTTAACGTTGCCTTAATGAGTCAAATAAAACTTGCACCCTTTAGCAATACAAACCATCTCGCCAGCTATTCCTGAATTACACCATGTAATATGGATTTTTTATTGATAGGACCTATGAACCGCAGATTTCCACGAGCATTTATTTGGTGGCTAATGGGTCCTTTCGAAAGTCACTTAAGCATTCATTGCTTCGGGGGAGGGAGGGAGGGAGGGGATGCATTTTAAGTTTTAAACTTTTTTTTTAAAGCAAAGTCAAAAGCTTCGTTGCACTATGCCCTTCACGTAATGTAATTTAAAGTGTTTCATTTAGACTTTTGTTCGGCCGTGTCATCGTAACCACCATTGTCAGAAGCGACAATTTGAGAATTTGTCGTTGACTCGCAGACCTCGTTCGCCTTGCTTGGTGTATGCGGTGTTCCAATGTACGTATGTGTATATATTAAATACATTATATATGATGGAAAATGTATAAATCCAGGCAATATGCACGACGATATGGAGTCTGTTGATTTTTCCATGATGCTGCATGTGGCCCCGTCCACCAAAAGGAAGATAAACTTAGTGCCGAGTGGCTTTCAAACATTCACCGCAACACTCCAACCCTCAATCACCGAGCCTCAAGATTGACTAATTATTTGTGATTGATGCAAATTATCTGCAAATGTTATCTTCAGGCAAATGAAACAAAGACTGGATTCTTGGACTCGAATCTTTCACCCTTGATCGAGAAATATTCTACATTGTAGCATGAATGAGTCGTGTCTCTGGGTGCCTATTAAGGCCAGCACAGCTTACGAACCGGCGGTGTGGACAGTACTACTGCTGATATTTCACGTTCACACACCACCAGATACTCATTTAAGGGCGAGTCCATCTAGGGCTGACCTATAACTGGATATCTGTAAAAAACTACTTTATAGCTCATCGGATTCCTCAAGCATAAATACATATTGTGATTGTGATAACCGATAAAGACACCTAACCGCCACTAGTGTGGCCCGATATTGTCCCACAGTGTGCAGACCCCACTGCACCACCCCTCATTTCACCAACAACAACAAAGATGCCATATTAATGGAGCTTATAATTTTATTTTGGGATTACATGCAACGTGTATTGAGCATTGTACACGCGTGAGCGCGCAGCCGCTAATCGCGCTAATCGCCGAGCAGAAGGTTCATCGTCAGCCACACTCCTTCCAGCTCGCTCGCACCACGAGCTCATCATCTCGTCGGCGCACGACGTTCTTTCGTGGCGTGACAACATTTGCATTACTTTCAAAGTTATTTCTGTTCATGGGACATTGGGCCAGTTTTTTAGAGTTGCCGGGGAGCCCCGCTTCAGACTGGCAGAGACGAGAGAGCGAAAACATCAACGATTTCAACCTTTATTTTTTTGGTGCGAAACAGGCACAGCTTCAGCTCCTCTCGCATCCCGGGGTGGGGATAGAGCACGTTTAGGGGACCACAATACGACGGTAGATGATTCACCACTAAGGAGAGAGTGAACTTGGGTGGTGCCGTGGGGGTGGGGCATTTGGTGGCGCAGACACCACCCCAGCACACACATAGCTCCGGACATTGTCGGAAAGCGTTACCAGATAGAAAGGCAACGCACCGCTTTTGAGCGGAAACATTCTCTCCACACTACCCGCTGCCACGTCCACTTGAACCGTCCCAGACATTTCACCAGCTGCCGTGGGGAGAGGTTATGGGGGGGGGGGTAAGGCAGCGCGCCGCGTGATGTGCAGGTGGCAAGTGGTGGCGGGCAGCCGGGAGCTGACAAGTGACTGGGGAGATAAAATTAGGGGGCCGGGGTTGGGCAAGCCAAGCTGCCACGAGGCAACGTTGCCACCCACTCGGCCGGCCGACCACCCACCCACCCACTCGAGTGCACACGCACTCACTGCCACCCGCTCTCTGCGTGCGCGCACGCGCGCGCGTTGTTAAGTTCGAGCGCGCAGTCTCCTTCTTCCAGAGCCAGCCCCGCGTGGGCTGCTGAGTCTCAGCTGGGGAGCTGTGGCTCTTGTGTTGCGTGCGTGGTAAAAAAAAAATTGTTGTACGCGTAATTCACGTGCTTGTCGCACGTGCAGCCGTGTCGATTGTGTTATATTTCACGAGCCTCTAGATAGACACATTACCGGATCCACGAACGGCTGCACTGACGTACTGGCCGGCGTGCGCGTGTACAACACGCACGTCCAACGCGGCGTCGTAGTACCAACCTGCAGGCTACACTACAAAGTCGCGAGCGCGGATGGGAGCCATGAGCGAACCTCAACTCCACCCGGCACGAACGGCGACATGAAACGCCACCGTAACTTGGGTTATTTTTTTCTTCTCCAGAAGACAACTTGGCGATAAACAAACCGGCAGAGGACAAAGACGTCGCATCCAGACGGACAGGGGAGCGACAACTCGTGACCACAACAACAACTACTGCAGCAGCAGCACAACCGCTAGAGTTGGGGTCGCGCGGTTGATTGTCGCCGTCGATGAAGGTGGAGCTGCGATGAAACCGGTGAAGAGACACTGACGAGAAGAAGACGCGACCGGTCTCAAGTCCTCTGCCGGGACTACGGTGTTGTCTGCTTAGTCATCATCTTCTTGCTGCTGCTACGGCGGTGGTTGGAACGATCAGCCGCGCGTGCGTTCGGCTCCATGGCGAGGCGCGTGTGGAGGTGGTGGTTGTTGTTGTTGATGTTCGCGCTGGTGATGACGAGGGCGCTGTTGGAGGAGGACTTGGCCCAAGAGGAGGACGAGGTGAGGATGATTTTGGTGTATTCGCGACGTCGGTGGGGATGGTCGCGCGAAGCCTTCCAAAGGCGATCGAATTCCACAGTCGATGATGGGCAGGTCGGGGTAAAGCGTGGGATAGTCCCACGTCTTCACAGACGTCTCGTCAGCGTGGAAAAGTAGGCCAAATACCCTTCCAGAGGGTGGCTTTCCGTTGGAGGATATTCCGAGAGCAATGGTGTGTGCAAGCAATTGTAGGGGATGCGTCAATTGCCAGTTGCCGGACGAATGCCTTCCCCGGCGTCGTGGTGATGTTATCCGTGGCAGAGAATTAGAAACTCAGCCGGGTTCAATGCGCCAGGCATCTCTCTAAATGGTCCACGAGGAACGCGTGGTGGGGACCCGCCGATTCGTGAATTCCCCAGCACACAATACTCTGCCCTGCGAGGTTCTGCGAGCAGGGCGTGGCGGTACGGGTTCTTTGAACCTATCTGTGCGGACCTTTGAGTGATATCCCCTTTGCTGGTTCACCTCTCGCACGGAAGCTCAACTCACTCTCGTTTGATGGAATTGCTCACACTTTCCAATGCTGCATGGGACCCGACTAAAGTTGAGCGCGTTAATCAGTTGACTCTGAGACGTCATTATTTTAGGATGGGCCATACTATGAGCAGTTCCGTACGTCTGTCCGTCTGGAACGATGTGGATGGGACGCGGTGGGGCGGGGGGGGGGGCTATATCGTGAAACTGATCGAATATTCACCAAACTTTACTGCAGAGTTGTACGCTATTAGGAACGGACTCTGTTGTAAAATGGGCAAATAGATCAAAGGGCTGCCCACGTTTTCTCAGATGGATCGCATCGCAGAAAGGACTAATACAAAATATCCAAACGCCTTTGGCCCTGACAGCTACCTACCTGTCGATTTCCGTAATTGCTCGTTCGATACTTTCAAAACAAAACGTATTATGGAAAACGTTTCATAGTCCATGTGCACGCATGGTCATTTTCTTAACGTATCACGAACGGCGCTTCGTACTCGTGGCGGGGATCATCAAGAGGAACGGCGAGATCCGTCCACTGCTGGATGAAAGACTCCCCCAAGCCATCGTTGTCTTTCACGATCCTGTGACCCGCAAATCTCGCGCCAGCCGATTCCATCGTTCCGTCTCCTCGATAGGGAGAGCCGGATGATCCAAGTATCAAAGTAGCTACAATGCTACGAGCCCCTCACTTTCAATTGCCCCATTGCTAAATGCTTTCAAGCTATCAATTCCGGTTCAGTGATTCTGCACTTGCTCTATTAGTACTATTCCACCTTCAACCTGTATGAACGACCGGGTGTTTAAGGTGAGCGATTTGTCGTATCATCTGGCTGTATAGCAAATGAACAAATACAATTACTTTACTATGCAAGTTAAACATTTGTGTGTTTTAATGTGCTATGTTTTTTTTATTTAGGGCCCCCTTAATAACATATGCTACAGGCCCCTCACCAGCTTAATCCGGCACTGTCTACGGGACATCATCTCGGGCGCGTTCCATCCCTTGGCCGCCACTCCGTCTTCACACACCATGCTTGACCATCAGGCCGCGAGCAAGTCCCTTCGCGTTCTGCCCGAGCCCCGATTTTCGTTGCAGTTGGAACGATGCAAAGTCGCTTTGCGTGCGTTATCGAAGCCACTCGTTTTGTCATTTGGAGACGCGGGCTTTGGAATTCCAGATTTAGTACGAATTTCAGATGTTCGGTGGCGGGGGTTGTGGGGGGGGGGGGTCTGGGCGGAAAAAAAGTTGGAGGATAAAAAAACCCCACGCATACAGGAGGACAGATACAATGATTCCGCCGCATAGCCTCAACAAGACTGTTGGGGCAAGTGGTGTTTTAGCGAGCACCTATGAAGACCAGCACGGTTAAACGAGGGGGTGGGTGGCCAGCACCACGCCCGACCGCCAGGGCACTCATTTGAGGCTGAGTCGATCTAGGGGAAGGCCCAGGACCGGTTCAGATAATCGTCGCCGGTGTTGGCCGTGAGCGGGAATCGAACTCGGGTCGCCGTGTTCGTAGCGCAGCGTAGCGCTAACCACTGCGCCACCGCTCCCCCCCCCCCCTCAACACCTAAATCTGAATAGGTGAATGAATGAAAGAGGGGGGTGGTTCTGTTCTGATGTGAAGATGATTAACGCCGGGATGACCCGGTGAGGTACGCCGGCTCTCCGTAACCGAGTGACCGATTGATCCCGAGCCATGTATCGCTGTGACCCCCCTCTCATCCCCCCACCCCGCTCCGTGTGCGACGTGCCAGGCACGGCCGTTCATGGGCATGGATGCGCCACCTATCGGCCACGGTGAGGTCACACAAAGCACGCCGCTCCCAAACTCCGGTCTCCATCGCCGCGTGCGAATACGAAAACGGGTTCAGTCCATCAGCCGAGTGAATTTCCAGCAATCCGTACGACCACGGAGGGGGGGGGGGGTGCTTTTCCGCCAACTTTGTTTTAGGAGTGGCGACTTGAATAGAGGCATTTGCTACACGAATTTGTCCCAGCAAACTACGTAGGCTATATGGGAATATTCTTCTTGTCTGTGTAAATGTCTGCTGTGTACGTGGCAGTAGTTATTAGCTGTGTAAATGGAGACCCTTGCAAACGATGTTTTCCATTTCAAGGCTTTATGCAGGCGATTATATGAATAAAATACAAATAATATCTGCACGTCTATGTGCACAGTAGTGTATATGTGTGTATTTGTGTTTGTCTATTTATTGGGGAGGCGGAGGTGCAATAGTTAGTGAACTGTGCTGACCTCAGATTTACTACCACTGCAAACATTTATATGTGTCGATGAATATTGTATGTATATGCATGTCTTTCTTTGCGTGCTTACGTCTATATGTGTCAGTGTGTCTTTGTTGGCTGTGCGACTGTATATCATATACACTATATGTTCGTATGTCTGTGCGTGTTTTTATGTCTATATATGTTTGTGTATGTGTCTGGACATGGTCCCTATTGGTGAGATCTTCTGGCAGGCGATGCTGCGTTGGCTGGGTCATGTGGCCCGCATATCCTCGCCAACGCATGCCGAAGCAGCTTCTGTTTGGCAGGAAAGAGGGGGCTGAATGGGAACACCACGGGCTACACAGAGCAGATAGGCCGATGTGGTACAGAAGCATTCAGAGCTGATTAGACTTGGCGATGGCACCAATGGTGTCAAGATAGGCCTCTGTGGAGGAGGCTCGTGAAAGATGTTCCAAGGACATTGGAGGCGACCGCCCTTCAAATGAGGATAGCGTTACACGTGCATTATCCAGTCATCTCAGTGAGCCCATAACACCTGGGTCTGTCCCGTGACCTACCAGCAAGCCTCTGACACTTCACGTTGGCTCTAAAGTGCACCCCCAGACTGGCACAAACCCTGCAGTCACATCAGCGTCACTTTGTGGCAAATGGCGGCTGATGTTGCTGCTTCTATGTGTGTTTATGTCTACATGTATACAACTATGGCTATGCATTTTCACGTATGTCTGTATGTGTGTGTGTTTACGGGGTTGAATGTAAAGGATAAGCAATGGAGAGACAAAGGCGGCCAGGCATGGCGTTGGCCACTCACCCCCTCGTGTGTGTGTGTGTGCCCAGGGCCAGATGATGTTGTATGAGGGCCCGAGGCTGTTGTATTTTCTAAAGGCTCCCCCTGTACATTCAGTTCCTTCCCTCGACTCTTTCACAAGCGTCCATACCCAAAGCCAAAAGCTCATCATTATTATTCACCTCGGTTGTTTCGGTTCTAGTTGGTTTTTTTCTTTCTCTCTTTAAATGTGCTGCACGAATTTGTCCAAGTAAATCGAAGTTGAAACGAACTAAACGACTTTCATCTTGGCACATGACCGACAGCCATACGCAAAGGGATGCTATGGCTTGATTACTAAATGAGCTGTAAGGGTTGTTGTCGAGACAGCAATTGTGGACTCCACATGTTCCGCCTCGACGAGATCGAGTGTTTCCCCCTCTCACACGCGTGGGTTTTTGCACACACGTGGGCTTTCTCTGGCCACTCCTCTCACGTGTCTTAACACTCACTAATTCGCTGATGACACCTTAATATATACGGAGGAATGCAAAGCTTGGGCAATTGTTGGTGCCGGCTTGCCGCGCCGCTGCCTTCCCGCTGGTCTGTGGCTCCTTTCTCCCCCGAGTCGTTCTGCCTCTACGAGAGCAAGCGGGATACCGCGCGGCTCGTCGCAAGTTGAAACAATACAAATTTTTTAATTATTATTCTTACACGGGGCAACCTTGCCCCTTGCGCGTGCGCACCTAGCCGTGCCGTTCGCCGAGGTGTGGGCGCACAGCTACTGCCGCGCGCTGGAGGTGCTGGTGGAGGTGTCGCGCGAGTACCCGGGCGCCTTCCCCTTCGTCGTCCGGCCCGCCTGCGTCCCGCTCTTCCGCTGCGGCGGCTGCTGCTCCGACGAGGGCCTGCACTGCGCGCCCACGGCCACCTACAACGCAAGCATGCAGGTGTGACCGTGGCGAAATGTGAACTAACTCGCCTGGTCCGCAGGAGGTCGTGGGTTCGATCCTGACCCTGAAGCCTGTTGTATATTTGGAGTTCGCGTGTTCTCTCTCTCTCACCGTGATCGTGCGGGTTTTTCTCCGGGTCCGCCGGTTTTTCTCTTCCACGTTTAGAATCAACATGTCGTGTTTAGAGTATTTGGCTGCGATAAATTTCCACATAATGAGCCACTTCGTTGAGCTGTCATTTGTGGCCAGGTCGCTTCTGAAAAAGAGCTCTATAGCTCAGTGGGCCTTGCCTGGTAAAATAAAATAAAAAGTTTAGCAGTAGCAACGTCATCAGTACCAGAAATAGTGTGCGCAGCAGCATTATCGTAATCAGCAACAGCAGCAACACCACCACCACAACATACATCATGATCAAAACAGCACCACTATCATCATCATCATCGATACCACCACCGTCAAAGTCATTGTCATTAGACAATCGAAACCCCACTCATCCCGTCTCCTGCCGCACCCCTCCTCTGCTGCTCGTTAATTAAGCAGAGTCATCCATGTGTTTTTTTCGTTCTCTATGTGACATGCGTGGCGCTGCAGATCCTGACCATCAGACCGTTCCACAAGCCGGAGATGCAAGAGATGTCTTTCCTTCAGCACGGCGCGTGCGAGTGCAGGTGAGGACCTCTCACCTGGTGTGAGTGCACAGCGGCTGTCACGGTTCGTCAGTTGCCAAGACTTAGGAAGATCTTTCTCCATCATCATCATCATCAAACGCTTCATTAGTTGCGAAGGCAACTGGGTGCATAGTGGAGCATCCTCCATAATCATTATAATCATCGTTAGCAGTCATTGTCTATTCACTGCTAGGTGAAGGCCTCCCTATGTCATCACGCTCCCTTATGGTCCTACACTGACTGCCATGATCCATACTCACTCATGGTGCATTAACTGATCTCACCACTCCATCTCCGCGCTGGTCGCACTCTCAGGAAGGCTATATCCTTTGGCTGCCAATCCTTTACTAGTCTCGTCAATTGGCCATAGTCTCTTTTAGCCACGATGTATTATGGGCAGCTGTAAATCATTGATTGTTGCAGGCAAGTAAGTTGTTGAGAAGTACGTGTGTGTGTGTGCTTACCGTGTATGGGGAGCGGTGGTGTAGTGGTTAGCGCTACGCTGCGCTACGAACCCGGCGACCCGAGTTCGATTCACGCTCAAGGCCAACACCAGTGACGATTATCTGAACCGCTCCTGGGCCTCCCCTAGGTCGACTCAGCCTCAAATGGGTACCTAGTGCGGTGCGTAAGCATCGCCACTGGGGAGACAAAGGCGGCCAGGCGTGGTGCTGGCCACCCACCCCCTCATGTGCAGTGGCGGCCTTCATAGGTGCTCGCTAACAGCACTTGCCACAAAAAGTCCGTTAAGGCTATGCGGGGATCTTTGTCTTTGTGCTTACCGTGTGAGTGCAGAACGCGGAGGAACGGACAACGAAGGGGACGAAACAGGGGACAAGGTAAAGGACGCAGGAAGCAGCGAGGCAGGTGAGAGGAATGCTCGAGTAGGTTTCTAATTGACCCATTTATAAATCTAGAGAGAGATGATTTGGTGATACTGTGTTGGTGCACAGCCACAAATAACAACAACAAACTCAACAGGTTCGTCAGTAACTCTGCGGCTTTGAAAGGGAAAATAAATAACAGGTGACATTTCGGGCAGATTGCCCTTCTACAAAGAGCGCATACATAGAGAGGCCAGAGAGCGGATGGAGAGAGTGGACGAGAGTTGTACAGTGCACTTTACACCATAATATATCCTTGGATATATTAGAGACTTCTTGTGTTTATCCGCCTTGCCTCTCAGTCAGTCACAGCACTTGAGTGCCTTTCGCGATGCAGAATCAAAGACTGAAAAGAACAGGGGATGAGCGGTATTCAGGGGATGTGCGGTATTCACGAGGGCCTACGTACAGCGACCGCCAAGGTTATCCATCGCATGAAGTGAAAGGGCCCGAGCCCATGGAGCCGCGTGGCTCTCGCAGCATCGGTGCTCGAAATAAGCCGTGCCGTGCCTACCGTGGAAAGGGCCCGGCACGACTCTGGTCTCCTTGGCAGTTGTCGTGGCAACGCAGCACCTTCGCTGCGTTCCGAGGACCTTCTCAAGGCTGCGCTCTCGGCTTCCTGTGATTAAAAAAAAGCGAGTCGTGACCCATTGTCGTCGTGGTTGTGATGAGGATCCCCCTTTGTCGCGCTCGCTCCGCAGGGGTTGCTCATCCTGCTCGGGGTCACGGTGTCTCCCGGAGACAGGGCGGCGAGCCTGCAGGTGAGACCCTGGTAGACCTAACGAAACAATTGTTTCGTGTTTGAAAATGTAAACTGTTTGTTATTTCACCAGGTAAGGCCCACTGAGGCTTTGTAGCTCTTTGTGAGAAGCGACCTCTCGTGTGGAAATGCAGAGCAGCCAAATACTCTTAAACGCGCGTTGATTTCGAAATGTGGAGGGGAGAACCCGAAGGACCCGGAGAATAATCCACATGACCACGGGGAGAGAGAGAGAGAGACACACGCAAACTCCAAATATACAGGCACCAGGGTCGGGAACGAACCCACGACGTCCTGTATACCGGGCGAGATAGTTAACATCTTTCCACCGTGGCGCCAGGGCCACCACGAGACCTCTTAATCTCAGGGTCCCCTACGAGGCCCCTAATCGTGCCAGCAGGGCCGGATTGCCACGCAGGGGGCTGCAGCATGGGGGGGGGGGGGTGTGGGGGCTCGGATTTTAAGAAGATCCCCAAATATCCCCCCCCACTCCGCAACCCATTTTTCCCTTTACTTTTGTTCCTCTTCCCTCGCCTTCCCTTCCCCATGTAAGAACCTCCCGCTACTCGCAGTCCCGACTTGAGCGGGGCTGTGAGCACAATCTTCTCCCCTTCCCCAGAACCCAGGAGCACCGAGGTCGGACTACGGTCCACGGAATTTCTGTACCCCCCCACCCACCCCCCACCCACCCATCCCCTTCCTTTATTACGCTTCGTGCCTTTTACCGCGCTCTTGTCAAATTAAAAAAAATAAAAGAGTCCCCACATATAAACAGGCTGCTTTAGAACTGTTGAAACCAAACACAGTAAGCACGATGATAAATCATCTTGTTAATTTGGCGACTAAAGCCGTGGCATGACGATGTGCATTACTTCCAGTAAAGTGGCAATATTAATCATTTTGTTCGATATAACTTCGATTTAGCCGTACAATTCGTATATCATGTGTAAAAAAAACTGGCAGTTAAATCTCGAAAGTGAACACCAATGCGGTGTTCGGCGCCGGGCGTGCGAGGTGGTAAAAGTCGAGGGTAAGGAATTCGATTCACAAAGAGAGCACCCCAAAAAACCACAGCGGTCCTAGGCCCGGCACTGAGTGCCAGGGATCTCGAGAGGCCCCTGCAGTGCCACGAGCCAGGTGATGTCTCACCTGTGATACAGTGACGATCTCACCGCATTTCCTGGCGTTGTGATTTAGTGACGGAAGTAATGTCTGGGTGGCGCTGTCGCCACGGACAACGCCAGACTCCACGGTCAAAAGGCTCCCAGTTCAATTCCCGGTCGGCAGAGCAGGGTGGGGATAAGCTCAGCCTCTTTAATGGAATGAGTAGCCACTTTGTGGCAAATCGACACTTAGTGGTCGGTGTATGGATCGACTCGCTCCCTCTATTGACACGTGTTGCCTGTGTGGTTGTGTGAATATGGGAGGCATAAATGCAGCCATTCACACACTGCGCTACAAACCCAGCCACCTGAGTTCAATTCCCAGCCGTGGCTAATATCATTGACGAGTTATATCTGAACAGGTCCTGGGCCTCCCCTAGATCAACTCGGCCTCAAATGAGTACCTGGTTGCGATGTGTAAACATCACCACTAGGGAGACAAAGTCGGCCGGGCGTGGTGCTGGCCACCCACCCCCTTGTGTGCCGTGCCGGCATTTATAGGTGCTCGCTAACAGCACTTGCGCCTACAGTCTGTTAAGCCTACACGGGGGATCTTTGTCTTTTGTGTGTGTGTAATGTGACTCGCTGTGTGCCTGTGCAGGAGAGAGCGGCCCAGGAGGTGACCATCTCCCACAAGCCGCCGAGAGCTCTGACCACCGCATCAAGCGGTCCCGGACACACGAACAATTTGCGGCGCCCGCTTCAATCGCAAACCGGCCCTCGCCATAAAAACGTGGAATTTACACCGCTGACGGAGGAGGGGGGGGGGGCGGCAGGGGGAAGGGGTGGGAGAAGAGCGAGGCTCCGATCTTCCAAGAGCACGGGACACTTCTTGACTTTGCCCGGCATCACCATGCTCTCTCACCGTGGTTGTCTGAATGTACGTTGAATTTATTTCGCCACCATACGTGTGGTTGGGGCGAGCGGTGTGTGGAGCCCGGTCAAATATTCCACTGGGCGTGGGTTTTTTTCACGGTTGTGCTGTTCGACTTCTCCGATGCGTGTATTTTTTGGGGTCTTAATTTTTGGGAACTTAATTTGTTCCTGCAGAAGCTCCCAGCACGCGAAGCGTCCAACGTCCTGCCGAACGAACAACTCATGGCACAAACCCGAAACAATCCCCCCCCCCCCTTATTGGAGAGCTGACTACAAACTACAAATACTCTTTGGTTCTATTCGGTAAAGTCACGTAGGTAAAAAATAAAACAACAAAAATCACGACGTTTCAGCCACAACACAAGTGGCCTTCTTAGGCGAAGGAACAGAACTGTCGGGACGACAGAGCTTCATTGAAGTGCTGTCGTCCCGACATTTCCAAAGAGTATGGATCCTTGCAGTCACGAAAGCTTCAAATCTAAAACTACAAATAGCCTGGCACGCATTCACGGCCTCGGCCTACTGGACTGGCTGATCGCAGCAACACCCACGAGGCGATGCTCCCCTATTTAATTCTCAAGAAATTTATCATTGAGCTGATACCCAAATTGACGACAAAAAAATCTACACGTTCGTCAATAACGCTGTGGCCTTTAAAAGGAAAGAGTATACAGTCGGTTTGTGACGTTTTGGGCAATGACACTTGGGAGGCGAGAGAGGTAGAGTAATTATTATTAAACACTTCATACTTTTCCCTTTTTAAAGGCAATGGTATTGACGAATGTGTCGACTTTTTGTTGTGGCTGTTGCTTGTGCACAGCTGCCAACGCAGCAGCATCGCAAAAAATTTTGGTACGCATAAGAGATGCATCTTGAAAAAAAAACCCCGTGATAAGCCCAAACATCTGGCTGTGCCGAATGCTTTTAGCGAGAATGTGAATCATCACGTTAGTTCACTGTGTGGCCATCGGTGGGGAGATCATACACTTGCAAGGTATCGGGCGGATGCCAGCACGCGTTACCGCTAATGTACTTGTGGATTATAAACATGTGCCCGGGACACCTCTCGTTTATTTAGCCGAATGCCGTTGCACGCAACTGCGCAGTCAGAGCAACAGACGCGCAGCAAGCAACAATCAGCGTGCTGCTCTAAATGGACTTGGGCCCACGTAGCCAGCGGAGTCAACGCGGCAGCCTCCTCCTCCTCCTCCATGCGCAGGGGGTAGCCGTCCCGAGAGGCCACCTCACCCTGTCGTCGAAACGCCACAGCCAGAGACGACGACGTTGTGACATGGCCGCCTGCTGTATGTGTATGTTGAACTTCATTCGCACCGTACGTAGCCAAACGTGCTAATCGGAGGTGCGAGGGAAGGCCAAAAAAAAACAAACACAAAAAAGTAGTTCTGAAGAAATGAGTTTTCAATCTAGATTATTTGAAAGTGCGTTCCAAATGGCTGCAGAAGCGCACCTGAAAGCGCCCGACGCGGTGACCAACTTTGTTCGATGGCCAGCAGCTGCCCACATTCGCATCGAGGGCAGCTGTTGCAGGAGAGGCCCCATCGGTGTTTGGAAGCTGCACGCAAGCCCGCGTTGACGGGCAGAAACCGTTCAATGGAACCCGCTGATGTCTAAAAGGCCGAACCCTCTCGATTGTGGATATTAATTCACGGGAATGTTGGTCATTTTTGAAGTGTTTTGTTTTTTTCCAGCGCGCTCTGCATCCTCCAGCGTTCCATGAAGGCAAGAGGACACCATCGGCGTTGCATGCCCGTTTTGCGAACAGGGTCTCCTGTATGGACAGCGGCCTCGTCTTGCGTAAAGTTTCCCACGCGTCGCCTACCTTCAAAGGGCGGAACAGACGAAAGTGACGTGAGGCTGCCCGTTCTGGACTCAAGGCTTGGACAGGGCTGCACAGTTAATCCACAGACTGAGCAATGGCCTTTGATGTTGTCAGGTCTGGCGATGTCACGGTCTGGAACGAGTGGGGCTTATGCCATGGGACAAATAATGCTCGTGACCCGCGTGATATTCGCGTGTGTCAAGATCGAAATTTGTTTTGTATCCGTATAATTCAAAACAGACGTTTCTTGAACAAAACAAAAACCACGGGAGGCTTTTATATAGGAAGCATCGAGTCATTGCAAAGATTATTAAAGAAGCGTTTGATGAAGACCAGAATTGGGAAGAATACATCCAGATAACGAGTCTCGAGGCTCATTACGGCGTTCCTTTGTAACCAAAGAAGTTATAGTTGTTTTATTGTTTTTATTGTACGCATAATTTCGAGGCAATTGTCGTTGACGTGTTATTTTCTCTGCACTATATGACAGAAATCTACGGACGTTCGAACTCACACCTGCCCATGCAGTACCGTGCATGATGATTGGAATGTGCTTTACAATGCGTCGTTTGTCCGTCACCTGAACAAAACGGCGCCTACAAATTGCCGAGCGCCCCTTCATCAGCCAGCAGCAGTAGCCATGTTCTGTCCACTGCTGGATGAAGGCCTCCCTAACGTCGTCGTCATCCCTCTCTCGGCGAGGCAACGATCCACGCTGCCCCTGCCACCCCCCAAAGGGCTCGCTCCTCCCGCACCCGGGCTGATTTTGTCACGTCGTGTTTGGGAAGACAAAGGCGGCCGGGGATGTTGCTGGTGCCAGCCACCCCACCCACGCCCCTCTCCCACACCTCGTGTGGCGTCCCGGCCTTGATAGGTGCTCGCTATCAGCATTTGCCCCCAGCCGTCTATATCGGTTCGAACGTGGGAGCTTTGCGCGTGGTGTGTTGACTTTGCGAAAGGCGTGGCTCTCTCGCTCGAAAGCCCATTAATGGCCGGGATCAATAACACCAGCGAGCGATCAACACCCAGAGAACGTTGCGCAACAGTTTCCAACCGCGTTAAGATCCCCGCCGCTATCTGCCCCACCACGCCGAGGCTCAAGAATTGATGGTGTTGGTGGACGTTGTCGTGGACATTGTAGCGGCCTCCAGCGGCTGCATGGGGGCCACACGAACTCAGCTGCCGGACGGCGTGAACGTCTTAAAACGATCGGCGGCCAAGCGCGATTCGAAAGCATAGAGGAGCCACATTTCAATGGACGAATCGATGATTCCATTGGCAGGTGCCTTGCTTAGTTGGTGCAGATCTCGCCGTGTTGTCCGGATTTATAAGACGCAACCACCATGGGGGGGGGGGGGGGGTGAAGGGTGTTGAAGTTCAACCCCTTCTGCTTCACGCGGTGGACAAAAATAAGAATCGCATCAGATGGAGGGACATCGGAATCATTCTCGGGAAGCTAAAAGCGTCTGCCGCCGAGTGTCTGAACGGCCCGGTTAGTGATCGTTACCGTGTTCCATACCGTGTCAACCCACACGGTTTACCCACGTATTCTTGTACAGGGAAATTTAGTTTTGAGGTCCACGCGGCGGTACATCCGTTTCAATACGGCCAACATTTTTAGTTTGTCGATTTGTAACTCTTTGGTGCTTTCGGTAAAGTCACATAAAATAAAATACATCGCATCAGATGGAGGGCATCGGAATTATACCCACGTGACTTTACCGAAAGAACCAAAGAGTATGGATTCCTGCAGTCACGAAAGCTTCAAATCAAGATTGTCTATTTGTGTTGTGTTTCTCCCTTGCGATGGGACTTTGTAGAATGAACGTTGAGATGTATAAGGGGCACGGGGTGACCAATGGGGTCTAAATTGGCCTGTGATAGGGTCGGGCACTGATGAGGGGTTGACGGGTTATGGTATTACGTCAGACTCAGCCCCACACGTGTGCCCCATGCATCAATGAAGCGATGTGAGTCTGTGGTCTGTCTCACACACGGCGACCGGATCGTCAGACGCAACCCGAAGTTTTGCTTTAAAGTACTGGGGACGGGTTGACGGGGGGGGGGCAGATTGACGGGGGGGGCAGATTGACGGGGGGGGGCAGGTTGACGGGGGGGGGGCAGGTTGACGGGGAGGGCGTCTTACACTCTGGAGGGTGTGCTGCCCGGCGAAGACGTTGAGCGGTGACGGTGTGTGTGTCTATGTGTGTGTGTATCAGTGTGTGTGTGTCTGTGTGTGTGTCTATGTGTGTGTCTGTGTGTGTATCTGTGTGTCTGTCTGTGTGTGTGTGTCTGTGTGTGCGTGTCTGTGTGTGCGTGTGTCTATGTGTGTCTGTGTATGTATCTGTGTCTTTGTGTGTGTCTGTATCTATGTGTCTGTGTGTGCGTGTCTGTGTGTGTGTCTCTGTGTGTCTGTGTCTATGTGTGTCTGTGTGTGTATCTGTGTCTATGTGTGTCTGAGTGTGTGTGTCTGTGTCTATGTGTGTCTGTGTGTGCGTGTCTGTGTGTGCGTGTGACTATGTGTGTGTATCTGTTTGTGTCTGTGTCTATGTGTGTCTGTGTGTGTGTCTGTGTGTGCGTGTGTCTATGTGTGTCTGTGTGTGTGTATCTGTGTGTGAATCTGTGTGTGTCTATCTGTGTGTGTGTATCTGTGTGTGTGTGTATCTGTGTGTGTGTGTGTCTCTGTGTGTCTGTGTGTGCGTGTGTGTTGCTGGCTGTCGTTGTTCCCTTCTTGTCTTTGCTCACAAATGACAAAATTAAATAAAAACACGCAAGTTACCCGATTGTATTTGTTGTTATACCGTAAAGAGAATTACCGTGGTCAATATCACTGAATAATCCGCTCGGGTGTCTCGTCGCATCGCAGGATCGTGACAGGACCGTGGCAGTTTGTGGAGGCCTTCATTCAGCTGTGGATTGACCAAGGCCGATGATGGACAACGATTGTTTAAGGGCGCTTTATAAATTATTATTATTGAGAGCTGGTGACTGAGCTGAGACTATAATAAAACTGGCTAAACTGGACAACCCGGTTGAACCAGGGGCTGCTCAACAGAAAGCACCTCAACTCCCCCAGGTCCCCCTCTTCAACATCCCCAGCGTGACATTAGAATAGTTTCTACTGTTGTTGTAAAGACCCCAACGTTGATCTCCTATACTCCGTGGGTGGGGGGGGGTTTCACAAAAAAAATTATCCTCGAAAATAACGAAACACCCGAAATAATTGACACAAATATAAAGGCGCTGATTAGGGCTTTAGGATTGTTTTTTTGCATTTGTGGGTAATAAAATTAGAGCCTCCCCCTTTCAATCCTACTACTGAGCTATCTGTGAAAAAGAGCTTTATAGGTAATCGGATTCCTACAGTATAAATACAGATTCTGAATCCACCGCTGAATGAAGGCCCTCCCCGCGATGTGTGAGCGTCGTGAGAGTCGATTGATCCCACTTCACCACGCTGGTTAGTGGGGGGGGGGGGTATTAAAGGGGTACCATTGTTTAGTGTCTCCCATCTCTCATCTACACCGCCTCTCTCCTACCCCTCCATCACCCCCCTTATCCCCTCTCTGTCTCGTCCATCTCCCCTGCATTCTGTCCTCTTATCTCCCTCCCTCATCCCCCTCTTGCCTATCGCCTCTCCTATCTCGCCTCCGTCTCACGTTAAAACCTCCCCACGCCTGTCACAGGGCTCCCCCCTCCGTCTCCTCTCCCCCCTCCCCACGGCGCCCCCCCCCCCCCCCCTCTCGCCGCCTCGGGCAAACACAGGGGAGGGAGGGAGGCGAGGCTTGGGCCACGTCATATTGCGGAAAAGTTTGAAGCTGCGTAACGCGCAAGAGCAGAGCCGGGCAAGCCGCGAGAGAGAGCCACGGGGATAAAGAGACAAGCCGGAGAGAGAGAGAGACAAGACGGAGAGAGAGACAAGACGGAGAGAGAGAGAGACAAGACGGAGAGAGAGAGGCACGTGGCAAGAAAGAGACATAGCCGGAGACAAGCAGAGAGTCGGTAAGACGAGACTGAACCAGAGGTGACACAGAGCGCAGCCACACACGCGCACACAACCACGGAGGGAGAGGAGAGAAGCGAAGGAGACCCAGAGTGAAGATCGCATTCATACAGAGAGAGAGAGAGAAACAACCCGAGAAGACGGAGGGAAACCACAGAGGGAGAGACGCGAAAGAGGACCGCAGAGAGAAAGAAAGGGAGATAGACGGAGCGAACGCACTTGATCTCACCTTAGCTCGCCTCGTGCAAGTAGCCCCCGACATTTACTCCCAGCTCAAGTCACCGCCGCGCATTCGCGCAGCTGCACAGGTGAGTGAGTGGGTGAGAGGTTGAGTGAGTGGGTGAGTGGGTGAGTGAGTGTGTGGGTGAGTGAGTGTATGGGTGAGTGAGTGTGTGGGTGAGTGAGTGTGTGGGTGAGTGAATGTGTGGGTGAGTGAGTGTGTGGGTGGGTGAGTGAGTGGGTGAGAGGTTGAGTGAATGAGCGGGTGAGAAGGCGGAGTGGGTGAGTGGATGAGTAGCTGAGTGAGTGAGGTGAGCGGATGAGAAGGTGAGCAGACTAGGGATGGTGGTGTGAGTCTTCCCTCACCGTACAAACACGGACTTCCTCGCGCGCTCACCCATTCACCCATTCACGTACACTGCTGCCACCCACAGTGCTTTCACCCTTCCATTCATTTACCCTCTCATCCACTCGCCCTATCACCCCATCTACTCACCCTCTCCCATTCACGTGTTCACTCACTCACCCTGTCACCCCATCCACTCACCCTCTCACCCATTCACGTGTTCACTCATTCACTCACTCACCCACTCACCCTGTCACCCCATCCATTCACCCACTCACGTGTTCACTCACCCATTCACGTACACTGCTGCCACCCACAGTGCTTTCACCCTTCCATTCATTTACCCTCTCATCCACTCGCCCTGTCACCCCATCTACTCACCCTCTCCCATCCAGGTGTTCATTCACTCACCCTGTCACCCCATCCACTCACCCTCTCACCCATTCACGTGTTCACTCATTCACTCACTCACTCACCCTGTCACCCCATCCACTCACCCACTCACGTGTTCACTCACCCATTCACGTACACTGCTATCACCCATTCACGTACACTGCTATCACCCAAAGTGCTTTCACCCTTCCATTAATTCACCCTCTCATCCACTCGCCCTGTCACCCCATCCATTCACCCTCTCACCCATTCACGTGTTCACTCATCCACTCACCCACTCACCGACCCACCGACCCACTCACTCACCCTGTAACCCCATCCACCCACCCTCTCACCCATCCACTTCTCATTCACTCACTCACTCACCCGCTCGCTCGGAGTTGTGGCGGTGAGTGGTGTTTTCGCAATGTCGTGTGAGGTGTTCGTTACGCAACCGCCTGCCCAGTTTTCCGTGTCGTCGTGCAGACAGCTACACGATGACTCGATGCCCCAGCAACAGAGCAAGTGACAACACCAGCAACACCAATAATAACACCTCTACAATTGACAGCCCCCAGTCAATACAATGCCGGATGAAGGCCGCCCTGCCGGAGTTATGCGGAGATTGCTTGACCATACTTCACCACGCTGGTCAGTGCTGTTTGACGATGAGAGGAGGGTGCCCAGCATCGGTTTGGGTGATCGACACTCAGCAAACTGTTGTTAGACGTGCCCGATCATCGAATGCAAGTCGCCGGCGACATAGCAGCGGATGTATAACGCTCTGGACCTCATATAGAGAGTAGAACAAATTGACTTAGTAAATTTTTAATGGTATCGGTTATTAATGCCATAAATCAAGACTCCCTTGCTAGATTCAGATCTTCGAGTCAGACGGCCAGAACGCGTTGATATGCTTGCTAATGAGTGTTCCCATATCGCAGATGGTAAAAACACCTGAGTTCCGTTCTGGGCCACGGCTAACATCAGTGGCGAATAATACCTGAACCGCTCCTGGGCACAACCTCCCTTCACCAACCCGCATTGATCAGCTTGGTGAAGTATGATCAAACAATCATGTTCGTGGCAACAATTCCCATCGTACATCCATGGCCCTCTCAAGCTGAACATTGCTGAATGGGCTCGATATAAATTTGAGAGTGCTCGTATTTTGGAATATAATCTTGCATCTCTTGCCCGTATGTAATGTCTTTATCCATCAAATCCTCACTGAGTTTTCAGGAGTACTGCAATGGCGTGTTTGACAATTACATCACTGAGTAATAACATCGCCTTATCGCCTTATGTTTGGTATTTACAAATCAGGATCAGTGTTCTTCTAGTCTATCCACCTAATGGATTTCCAGACTTGTGCGAACCAGGGGCATTTATTTAGACACGTAAACTGTGGACTGACTTCGCCTTTCCGCGGATGATCAGCAGTGCCAGCCGTGATGAACAAATATTTCTCGTTTACCAGATGCTCCCATTTGACGCTTCAACACAGGCGCGTGCTACAGCTTAGTTTAGAACAGAGTGGTTTTATTCGGGGGGATATAAACAGTTTTAAAAAACAAAGTGTCAGACACCAACATCTTGAGTGGACGAATTGAGGGTGGAGGGGGAAGGGATGGTGGGGGGGGGAGGAGCGACCTCCCCCACCACTCGAGGTCCGAGCGTATTGAGGGGGAGCACCACTGTGATGTAACCGCTTTGTCAAATGGTGAACAGAACGAGCAACGATGAGATTGGACATGGGCTTTGGTGGTGTCACGAGTGGTTGTGGAGCCAGTCGTATGCATGTACGTTGAACTTCTTTCGCACCCTGCGTAGCCAACCATGCTAATCGGAGGTGCGGGGGAAGGTATGACAAACTAAACACAAAAAGCAGTTCTAAAGAAATTAGTTTTCAATCTGCATTTAAAAGTGCACAACTCCCAGTGGCGTCCTAATATAGGAAGGAAGAGCGTTCCAGACGGCCGCAGAAGCGCATCTGAAAGCGCCACGCGATGCAGTGACCGTGTTGCTGTCTGTAGTGGTACTGGTTATGGTGGTAAGCGTTGAAAGTGATGGTGGCTGTAGCAGTGGCTTGCATTGGTCGGTGTCTGTGTGTGATGGTGGCGGTGATCGTGGTACCAATAGTGGTTGTGGTGGTGTCTTTAGTGGTGATGGAGTTTCCATTCGAGGTTACAATTTGATTGAGCAATAGATTATTTTTGTGTCGTTCGTATTATGCTGTGTATACTGCGACGCCCGTCGCTTAATTTAATGAATTTTGGAACAACGGTTTATTTTTTTTGGCTTGACCCTTAACCTAGAAGGGGTGCTGAGCGATGCAGCTCACAGAGCGGCAGGAATACCGTGGGGTTATTTGTAAACAGCGAGTGCATTCAGGCGTCAAGTCATTGTTGTTCACGTTCTCGGGTTTTGTTTTATGGGGGGAAAAAAATTCTTTTTTTTGTTTAGTTTCATTTTTTTGTCCACTCGGGCCTTTTTGAACCCCCAGCCCCAGCGCTCGTTTCCCCACATCGACCACGTCCTAACGCTGCAAGAGTCCAATCTACCGCATGTCCATAACGTTCGGGAGTTCGATTCCTGGCCATGATCGCTGGCAAATTATATCCGAACTGGTCATGGACCCCCCCCCCTCTCTCCCCTTCACCAACCATCATTGATCAGCGTTGTGGGGAGCGATGGCGTAGCAGTTAGCGCCCCGTGCTACGAACCCAGCGACTCGAGGTTCGATTCTGAACCGGTTCTGGGCCTCCCCTCTGTCGCCTTAGCCTCAAATGAGTACCGGGTGCGATGTGTTATCATCGCCACTGGGGAGACAAAGGCGGCCGGGCGTGGTGTTGGCCACCCACCTCTCGTGTGCCGTGCCGGCCTTCATAGGTGCTCACTAACAGCACTTGCCCTGACAGGCTGTTAAGGCTATACGGGGGAGGGGGGTCTTTGGCTCTGATGGCAATGGTGGTGTCACTAGTGGTTGTGTCGTCAGTAGTAGCAGTTTTGTTGGTGTCTATAATGGTTCTGGTTCTGGTGGTAAGTTTTGAGAGTGGTGGTGATGGCGGGTGTAGTCGTGGCTTGCATCGGTCGGTGTCTGTGTGTGGTGGTGGCGGTGAGTGTGGTACCAATAGTGGTTGTGGTGGTGTCTTTAGAGGTGGAGTTTCGATTCGAGGTTACGATTAGATTGAAGGACAGATTATGTTTGTGTCGTTTCCATAATATTCTGTCTTATCTCGGTTAAACATAAGTTGCAAGGGTTATATGAATCGTAAAACGTCAATTCCCACACGGAGCTAATATGTTTGGATATACGATTGGGCGAGAATAGTTTATTAAATTGAGGAGGCTTATTCAAACTTGGAGGTGTTCCGAATATTTTGGAGGAGCGAGGTCCCTTGGGTGGCTTAGGTCAGAACGATAAGCTGGAGCCAGCAAGATGCTGGGTTAAAATCTCCAGTTTCAGCCGCTTGTCATTAAACCGGGTGTTCTGGTGTAGTGAGTTCATGGTTCTATCCCAGGCACCAATGACTGCGCAAACAAAACATATTAAGGTTGGTAAAAACCCACTTAAATTTTCCTGACACTCCCTTACTGTAAGGTTCAAAGGATCACTTTTAAAGGATTTGTGGTATCCAAGTCTGTGAGCCCGCACGCGAACACGAGGAAGTCGCACTGCCATGCGAGGTGGTGGTGTTCCAATAGGACAAAAAGAAGACAACATTTTCAACAATTCTTGGCAACAAAATAAACAATTATTTTTTTTAAACCATGCGTGGTTGCCGCCGTTGTGACAGCGATGCCCAAGGGAGCGGTCCCGTGACTTGGGAGGGATAGCTGTTTTGATCGACAAATGGTGTCGCATCTGAGCGTGAAATGTAAAATGAGAATCTCGTTTCGCAATGAGTTGAGTGAGTCGTGGGGGTCACGAGTAGCGGGGTGAGAGGTGGCGAGACGAGGGGGGGGGGGGGCAGCTGTAGCGGTGAGCGCTACGCTGCGCTCCGAACCTAACGACCCCAGTTCAATTCCCTCCCACGGCCAACACCGGTGACGATTATCAGAACCGATCCTGGGCCTCCCCTAGGTCGACTCAGCCTCAAATTAGTACCTGGTGCGGTGTGTCAACACAAACCCACCCACCAAGTACCGTGCCGGCCTTCATAGGTGCTTGCTAACAGCACTTGCCCCAACAGTCTATCCAGGCTATACGGGTGAATCTTTGATCTTCTGTCCGTCACTCAGTGCTGGGGGGGGGGGGGTCAGAGTTGCACCACCAACCCAGCGATGCTTCTTCACCAAGAGCCAGTACAGAGAGATTGTGAAACTTGACGTGACGCCGTGACAAATAACTTCACGCGCACACACAAA